TTTCAACTCGCCCTCTTCTCGGGTTAGGACATCACATTTGGTAGTGGTAAGAAACCAAACCACACGATGACCAACCTCTCCCCGACGCAGGCCCCGAATGGGCGGCTGCGTCGGGGTGTCGTACAATCAGGTGCAGCGGCTGTCGGCGTGCGGCTACACCAACGGGCTGTCCGTGACGGTGCGCATCCAGCCCAAGGAGTTCCTGTCCTCGTTCCTCGCGTCGCACGCCGTCCTGGTGAGCGCCCCGTGGCACTAAACATAGCGAGGCGCCCGACGAACGGGAGCACACCCCTCACGCCTCCCTCCTCCGCTGGCCTGCAGGTGCTGATCCACAACCCGACCCAGTACCCGGACGGCAACGCGGACCTCAAGATTGTGGGTGCGGGCACCGTCTCCTTCATCTCGTACATGGCCGAGGTGACGCTGCCCAGCGACCGGATCGCCACCCTCAAGAGCTCCATTCGCAAGTGTCAGTTCGAGAGCGAGACGTACCTGCCCATGTTCCGGGCGTACACCTACGAGAACTGCATGGCCTCGTGCCAGGCCAACCGGACCATGCAGAAGTGTGGCTGCGTGCCCGTCACCTATCCGCACATTTGTAAGGACCAGAGTGCACACGGCAAAGGCTGTTCCGGGCCGTTCTCTTAAAATCCCAAATCCAAACAACGCACTTGCGTTGCGAGTATACGAGAACGTGTTTTTGTCCCCTCAACTATTTTAATTATTGCCCTCTTATCGATGTTCTTTGCTTGGTGTACTGCCCGCACCTTTAATTAGCGAACCCTGGACCCCGAACGCAATTAATAATGCTTCGATGACTAATGGAGAGCTTGTTGTTTCCCTTACGCAGTGCAGAGAAAAATGTGCACCCTCACGGACGTCCCTTGTATCGCCTCCCTGCTAAGTGAGTACACCAATAGAGTGGGGTATGGCGTGGGGGGGAGTTTGGGTGGTCGGTTTGAAGTCCATCCCCTGGAATGCCTGCACTTTGTGCTGCAGCCGCGTCGGGCCCCACCTACGAGCCGTTCAACGCGACGACGTGCCCGCTCTGCCGGCCCCTGTGCGAGAACGTCGAGTACCAGGTAGAGACGTCAGTCGGCGTCCTTCGCACTAGCTCCATCCCCGAGGGCGATCCACTCACGTAAGTAGTAATCCGCCCGACGGGGGGTGACGATCAAAGCCATAGGTTTGGGGGCAAAACAATTACTGAAAAATTTGCACCGTTTGCTGCTCACAGAAGTGGACTCTTGGGCATCGAAGAGAACTACGCCTTGTTCCACGTATTCGCCAATGACTTGGTCACCACCAAGTACAAGATGGATGTGTACATGACTCGGGAGGATCTGTTGGGTGAGTAGCGAAGTGAGGCCAGGACAGGTCAGCACGATGTCGTGGAAACGATATTCGCGGCATACACATCCGATATCGTTGCCGTAGGTTCGCTGGGCGGGCTGTCGGGTCTGCTCGTCGGCTTCAGCCTGGTGTCGGGCTTCGAGTTCGTGTACTTCTTCACGATCCGCCCGTTCTTCCGCATGCGCGCGCGCCGGGCGGCCAGCCGCGAGGAGAGCCGCACCGCGTCCGCGGCCCAGGACGCCGTCAAGGGCCTGGGGAACTCCGCGTCCTCCATCACGTCGGGCAGCCCCGGGGCCGAG